CCTCAGTGACAGTGAGCTCCTGAGCTCCTCTGATGATGAGAACAGCCAAGTTCATCAGGAAAGCTAGCGCAACACTCTTCTCCAGGAGATTCAGCAGCACAGCTCTTCCTGTCCAGTTCTCCTTTTAAGTTGGCAACAATCCTCAGGTGGACCCTCCACACCAAGCACCACGCTGATTCAATTCAGTTGGGTTTTACAGGTTGCCCATCGGTTGTCGGCTCACCACAGTTTTATCAAGATTAATGATTTTGAAAAAATTTGGTCATTATCTCTTTTTTTTCTTCTCTTATTTCTATTTCTATTTATTTTTGGTTCTGTCTTCTTTACCTGTGGCTCCAATCAGTGTGCATCTCCCACTTGGGTCATTTGTTTTTATCACAAAGTTCTGGGGTATTTGTTAGCTTTTATCTGCACTCTCTTATTCTTTGTGTTTGCTGCAGGTGAGTGTTGGATGTACCCCAAAGGTCCTTGTATTAAAGGCTTGATCCCCAGAGTGGAACTACTGGAGGTGATGGAGCCTAAAGGAAGTACATGCTAATGGGAGATCTTTGGGTCATTGAGAGTGTGTCTAGGAACCTTCTAGTGGGACTGGGTCTTTTCTTTTTTCTCTTTGCTCTCTGGCTTGTGAGGTAAGGAATTTTATATTGCCACTTTCTCCCACCATGATGTGCTACTTTGGCAAAAGCTAAAAGTGATGGGACCATTGATCATAGATGGGAACCTCCAAAGCTGTCAGCCCAAAACAACTGTTTTCTCTTAATACATTATTATCTCAGGCATTTTGTTGCAGTAACAGAAAGCTAACACAGTGCATCAGGTGGGGTCATTTGTATTGCTTTGTGTTCAGGTTCACTGAGGCTTTGCTCTGTTTGGTTTGTTAAGCAAGATTTCTTCATCACTCAGACTGACTTTTTAAAAAAATGTATTTGGTACAGGGTCTCACTAGGCAGCCCAGAATCATAGTGATCCTCCTGTTTTCAGTCTCACTGGTGCTGGAATAACAGGTGTGCGCCATCACGCCTGGACTCAGTGGTGGGCTCAGTGCGCCTGGCGGAGGGCGGCATCATACTGGTTGTTTTCTTTCCAGCCTTTCTGCTTGATGCTCTTCTTCTTTCTGACATTTTCCTATTTGTTCTTAGAAACTCACTTTTCTTCCCACTAACATTCTGGTCAACTCTCAGGTTTTGTTTTCTCGAGAAGGTTCTCTGCATTTCTCAGCCTGGTCTTAACTATATGTGCACGGATGATTGTTTCTCCTCAGCCTTTTGAGTAGCTGGGACAACTGGCTTCCCTCTCTGTGGCCAACAGGTCTGGTTCTTTTCTATGGATCCTTTTATGTCTCAAAAATGAGATTTTTGCTTTTTTTTTTGAGGATGCTGGTAGTGCTGAAGATCACACCCAGGGCCTCGTGCGTGCCAGATAAACACTACTACTGAACTACCGCTCCAGCCTTTGATCTTTTCTTTTACTAAATTTTATGTGTGCCTTATAATCTTTGACTTCCAGACACTACTCATAAAAGAATAGTCATGGTTGAAGTAAAATGATACTTATTCCTAGAATGGGCATATTTCCTATTCCTGGCTTCCGTGCAAGGCATTGCATCAAGCTGGCCTGTAGGTTCTGTCATTGCTATACTTATTGTCCGTGCACCGTGCACCGTGGGCTTCTTATTTCTTCTTTATGCTTCGTGTGAGGTCTTGAGTGAGATATATTCTCACGATTACCACTCCACTCAGCCACACATGCATGCAACGCAGAGGGAGTCTCTGTGGGTTCTAGCCCCTTCCTCAAGTTAAACTGCTGTTCCTTTTAATGTGGCGCAACATTTGAGGTAGAGGCAATGGACTCGTGTTGCTCTTGCTGTAGTTTCAGTCTTAGACAGGCCTGACCTCGAGCCCCAGGAGGGGGGCTTTGTTTCTGTTCCTCTCCAGTTTCTGACAGCTCTACTGTTTAGTCAGTGCAGGTACTAGATCACAGGCAGACTTCTGTCCCTTCCTCCTGTGGGACCCAAACTACCTCACTACTGGAGGGATCTTGAGTGTGAATGAGATTCTTGCTCTTCCAGCAGCAGCAGCAGCAGCAGCAGCAGCAGCAGCAGCAGCAGCAGCAGCAGCAGCAGCAAAAGGACAAGGAGGTGAGCTGACACTGCCCCCTGCTTTGTGTCAGTGCAGGGTCTTGAGCCCTGGGGGTGGGGATGGGTTCCTGGTCCTGGCCAGTGCCAAATGGATTTTGCTCAGTATCTGTGTAGGGTGAAAAGGGGGAGGGGGCTTCCTGATGCTCCATGGAAGCAGTAGACATTTGCCTGGTAGCAGGTTAGGGAACGGTGGGCTCGGGGTTGTCCCATCAATCAAGGTGCAGATATTCCTGTGCAGCAGCCATCCACCACCTTGTACTCCTGCAGGCCCAGAGCTAAGAGAGGGCTTTTCAGACCTTTCTTCTCTAGCCTCAAACTTAGGCAGGTCCTCTGTGTGAGCCTGGAGCCTCTCCCAGGCCCTGCCCCTCCTTTAATCACTCAATGTCTAGTGAGTGTGGAATTCTCTTACATCCGGGACCCTTGGGATTATAACCTGATACTCTAGTCGTTAAGAATTCATTAAGATATGTTATTTGCTTCTGATTTACTTTCATGGCAGCTTCCTCTTCATCAAAGCTCTTCCAGAGGACAAACAGTTGATGTGTTTCATGTATCAATGGTATTGTCTTCCAATGCCATTACTATTAGAAATCATTTACCAGTCCACCTTGAATCTTAGCCCTCCAAAGGGACCAAAAATGAATTTTATGCATTAACTGGATTTTCCCATTCTTCTAGTGGACTAATATTCTCTTGTGACTCTCTGTGTCCTAGGGGGAAATAGAAATCATTTTAATATGGTTGGGGGGCAGTTAAAGACCAAATTTCCTGTTCAGTGTTTCTATTATAACTATATAAATATTATTTGCTATTAAGATGTTGTGATTTGTGTCTAGATGTCCCCCCAAAGCCCCATGGGTGCATGGGGTGGGCTTCAAGAGTTTGTGATTGATTCACGGTCCAATGCTGGGGTTATGGGTGCAAATGCTGGACTTACTCTGGGGTGGGCAGCCTGCATACCAGGGAAGGGAAGGAAAGGTGCTCGTCTCTGCTCCTCCCTATTAGCTCTTGCTGTCTTCTACCGTGAACCATTGTCCCTGCACCATTCTACCCTGCCTTGGAGCCAGCTGGGTATGTGCTGAAAACCTTCTCAAACTGAGCTAAATAAATCTTTCCTCCCTTAACTTTGGGTGTCATGTATTTTGTCTCAACAACAAGAGAAAAGTAACTAAGACATAAGCCAACTTCTGTAGCAATGTTACGTTTTCTTTCATATACAACTTGGTCTTATTGAATTTAATTGCATTTTACTTTTCATTTTTATGCTTTCTGTAAGACATATCTCAAAATAATTTTTCCACTTGTTCAAACCTACCACCTACATATTCATTTTTTCCTTCTTTTTCTTCAAGGTCTCCATTCTGGAACCTTCCATTCTCCTTCTCCCTTCTTGAAATGTATCTTATGCTTCTTCAGCCTTCAGCCTGGGCCTCCTCTACACACTCTGTCTATGGAGTAGCTTCACCTATTTTGTGATGAGGTTTCCTGTTTTCCTTCCTGACTTACACCCTCACTCTGTTGGAGCATGTGCTCTGACAGCTTCCTAAGAGATGGTCCTGTGTACACTGGACCACTTAGGCGCTGAGACCTAAGAACTCAATTACTTGGGCTTGATGACTAGAAAGGCTTTACTGTAAATTGGGTCTTAGCCATTTCATCAAAAACACCAAAATGTCAGGAGCTGTAGGGTAGTTTTCTTGGAATGGTCAATTCTTCAGAGAATTTTTGTGATTTGGGCCACAGCCCTGGCTGCTACAGCCTTCTGGAAGCTGAGTGGGGAAGGAAAAGGGGAGGGGATTTGGCTTAAATTTTTTATACCAAAATGCAGCTCCCATCTCCTGCAGTTCTCTATGGTACATCCTCTCCAAGCAGTACACTTTATGTTGGAGTAGGATTGTGGATGGCACAGTGAGGAAGACGTCTGAACACCCCAGGTGGCACGGAGGACTTAGGGACTAAGTTGGACAATTAATTAATTATTGTTTTTTTTAAGACAGAGTCTCACTATGTAGTTCAGGCTGGCTTTAAGCTCACTGTGTAGCCCAGGTTGGCCTTGAACTCACAGAAGTCCTCTGGACTCAGCCTCCTGAGCACTGGGATTACTGATGTGCACTACAACTGGACTTTGATGATACAGCCAACACCACCTGTGTTAGCCTCGTCCTTTCTGCCCACTTCAGAAGCGCCTGGTTCCTCCAGCTCTCAAGTACTTCCCGGGTGTTAAGGCTTCTTCTCGTCCCTTGCCCCTACCTATCCACGCCCCTCCCCACTGCAGACACACAGGTTCAGCTTTTTAGCCTGACAAATTTATTAGCAGGTGGCCACTTGCTTTGCGACCTCCAAAGTTTGCTGTCATCTCTGATGTCTGCTAGTCTTTTTCCCCACTGTCTCATCTGTGGCTCAGTGCCTGTTTTATTCTTTCATTCTCATTTTGGTGGAGTTGCAGTGGGTAGAAACGAATTTGCTGTATTTAAGCAGAAGTTTATTTGCTCATTTTAAAATTGAGGAAAATGAGGGCAGACACCTTTACACATGGTGAGTCAATGATGGGGAAAGATGGGGTGATGTGGTTTTTGCTCCCAAGCAGTTTTCTCATGGGTGAGGTTGGAGAGAGTCCTAGGAGACCCCAACAGGCCCTTTTTGGGTTCATCTCAAGCTGAGCCAATGGTAGTTATTACTTAGTGGTCAGACATCATGGCTTAGAGATCTGAATTCAGGTACCTTCAAGCAGAGCAAGACCCTTTGTTCCCTGAGTCTCAGCTTCCACCTCTTCCCATGCTTCAGGTCCCATCCCAGGACATGCCAGGCTCCCAGAAGTCAAAGGTGGTTCTTACCCTAATGACACAGCTTCATCTTTTCCAAGGCGGGAGCCGGTTCTTATTGGAGACCTGGTACAGGCATGGATTGCTGCAGGGCCCTTTTCTTCTGCCTGTGTCTTCTGACATCTCAGGGCACAACAGAAGGTATGAGAGCTCTGCTGCAGGGCTTGGCCCAGCCCAGGCTGTGGCTGTGGTGTGTGAGGCGAAGGCCTCAAGCAGGGGAGGTGGAAAGGGGCCAGTTTGGCCTTCTTGGGCCAGAAGCAGCCAAGAAAAACAGGAAGTCTCAGCTTGGGTCTGGCAGGTCTTGAGCCTGGGGCAGAGGTGGCTGAGGGTGCAGGCTCTGGGCGAGTCTTGCTCTGCAGAGACAACACTGTCCACAGGGTCAACAGAGAACAAGATCCTGGGCTTGATGCAGAAGATGGAGAAGAAGGCCATGGGCCGGAGACACTATTCTCCTGACGGGTGAGTTGGCGTCCTCATTTGCACAGTCAGCTTTACCTCCTACCGAAACCCTGCCCTCAACCAGTGGTCCAGGCTGCTCTCATGTAGACTCAACGATGTATCTAGCTGGGCATGGTGGGCATGCCTGTTATCTCAGCACTCTGGGAGGCTGAGGCAGGAGATTGTAAAACTGAGCTTACTTTGGGCAATTTAGCAAGACTGTCTCAAAATAAAAATGTCTGGGTTTGTAGTTTAGAGGTAAAATGTCCCAGGGTTCCTTCTTCAGTACTTCAGCAAGAGACAAATCCTGCGTCTGTATTTAGCATGTATTTATTGAATACCTATGGTGTGCATGTATTTATTGAGTAGCTGCAGTGTTCAGGATAAGCAGTCACTGCTCTCCTGGAGTTTATTGTCTCTGGCCGGGACTCCTAACCAGCATGAACCTAAGTGGGCCTCTGCATTTTCCAGAGTGATCCTTCTGTGACTGTAGCTGGACATTCGGGGTCTGTGACCCTAAGATCAAGCAGTTCTGGGGAGAGACCAGTGGTAGTCACTAGCTGGGATGACTAGATACTTTGCTCATTGAGTGGGCAGGGCAGTCAGGAAACACTTCCTGGAAGAGGTGACAGCAATCTGAGACCTGAACAGCAGTTAATCAGGAAAGGAGGAAGGGTGCAGTGGGGAAGCTGGAGAGCGACAGGATCTGGAGGTGGGAGTGATGGGGTGGGGGTGGGGATGGGGGCTCTGTCCTCCTAGGCTCTGAGCCCCCTCCCGTGGCTCTGCTACTGGTTTTTTTTTTTTTTTCCCAGAAAAATTCACAAAACATTTTATTATTTTTGTCTGTTAAACAGTTAACAAACATAAGGCCACACAAATGTCATAAAAACTGAAATAGCCTTAGCATCGAATTACATATAGAATGTTTTACAAAGTAACACATGTAAATCAAGAAAATCACATGTATCAGTCTACAAGTTACCAAAAAGATACAGACATTAAACTGTACACAGAATTACTCTCAAAGTTGAAATAATTCTTCCAAAACAATTCATTCTATACTTCAAAAAGACATTTTCAATTCAAAGACACAAGATGAAAAGTCTTTTAGAACAAAGTTAACAGAGGATTGATGAAGAACTGATTCTCCCAAATCTAAAATGTTATGACTGAAAGAAATGTTATTTTATGTCATTCTCAAAACAATAAAAAATTTAAATGTTTCACAGTAATGTGTTTAATAATCTAAGTTTTGGATGCAGACATTTAGTTCACCAAAAGTCATACACTTCTATCTAACCCCGATTAGCTCAAGTTTGAAATTTCTAGCAGCACCATAACACTGTAACTGGTTCTGTGTCCTACCTACAGTGAAGTCCGTCTCCTGGAGCAGGAGCTGCTGAATGCTTCCTTCCATGAGCACACACTAAACTTGCACACGAAAACCATTCAGTCTCTGGTCTTCAAGCTGCGCTGCAACTTCACTGGCCTTTCCCTGAACAGTGGTACTCTGGAGCAGGGCCCTCAGGTCAGAGGCCAGGCCATCGGTAGCAGTTCTGCCCCAAGTCTCACGGGGTTTTAAAGTCCAGGGGTTCCCAGCCTTCAATGCCCTGCCTCGAGCCCAGGCTCCCTCCAGACAGACTGGAGCCTCCCGTGTAAACTGGTGGGGAGCAACAGAAAGAAAGGTGACCGTGACCCTCAAGGACACAGTCTTCCTGCCTGTGGCTACAGTCAGGTCCTGGGGAGTAGAGGTGTGGGAGAGGACAGAACACTGCCTTCCTTAGTACCCTGAATGCCTTGGAGTGGGGTACTGGGTGCGGAGATTGCTCCTGTGGGGTTCCAGCTGGTGGGGAAATCACCCAGACTACAGCTGGGACAGAATGGTGGAAAGCCTGGGGCTGGAAGTCTGGAAGAACAGCTTCTGCAGGGGTTGGCTCCAGAGGGAGCTGCCCCAGAAGCCAGGAAGATTCCAAGGTGTGGGGCCCGCCTGGGGCCCCCAGACACTAGACTCAGCCTGTCCATGGTCCCCACAGGCCCAGGCCTGGCATGCCATGCATTTCCCTGCTGAACTGACCTGGGATGCCTGCTCAGCCCCTGCCCGGCCCAAGGAGCTGCGGCTCATCTGCATCTACTTCTTTACCACCTCCTTTTTCCAGGTCAGCAAGGGGCTCAGAGGAGGGTGGTGCCTATTCCTCCTGGGGCACTGCAGACACCCATGATCTGTGGCACCCAAGCTGGGCCTCCATTACCTTCCTGGCTATAGGGAGGTGCAATTGCAATCCACAGATGAGATTAAGAAACCCCATTTATGGTTGCCTGTGCAGGATGCAGGCACAAGGCACAAAGTCTCTATCCTTAGAGAACTCTCCATGTGGACACCTAAACCAGGACCTTGGAAATGTAGTGTTAACGCTAGGTCAGTTGTGACCACGGAGATACAAATTGGTGGATGAGTCAGATGGGCTGGGGCCAGGAGGGCTTCTGGAGAAGGTGCCCTTCAACCTTGGCTTTGCAAGTGAGCTAGGGTAGCAATAAGGTGAGGGGTTGGGGCTGAATTGTGACAGACAGATCGGAGGTGGGCAGGGGTGCTGAGCTGAGACCGGCCACCTGGACACATGCAGGCCATGCTGGCTTGGAAGCAAGGGCTAGGAAGAAGGATGCAACCTTTTTTATGTATTTGGTACAAGGTCTCACTATGCAGCTTGGACTCATAGTGATCCTCCTCTTTTCAGCCCTCCCAGCACAGAGATTATAGGTGTATGCCACTGTGCCTGGACTTGGTGGCCGGCTCAGTGCACCTGGGGCTGGGGCCGGTGTGGCATGTGGTACTGGGGATCAAACCCCAGTCCCTGTGCTTGCCTAAACAGGCACTTAGTCTGCTGAGCTATCTCACCAGCCCAGAAGGGTACAACCTTATCCAGGGGCTCCCCCATACCCCTGCACTTAACCCTTCTGTGTTTCAGGATGACAACAATTCATCCCTGCTCAATAACTATGTCCTGGGAGCTCAGCTGGACCAAAGACGTGTGAGCAACCTCAGGGAGATGGTCAACATCAGCTTCTGGCACAACCAAAGCTTGGTACTCACATTTCCACCCCATCCCTGTCCCCTCTGTGGCTGTCCTTGGCTTGACTCCAAGATTAGACTCAGTGTTCAAATTGGTGTGACTCAGAGCTGTGGTGCTGCCTTGGAAAGAAGCTGACTTAAATCCATCACACAATGAGAACTGCCAAATAAATGAGAAAGAAGGGTTTGGTCATTGTACCCATTCATCAGGGGTCTTCTAGTTGCTGGTGATAGGATACTATCCCAAGCCATCTTAAGCACAAACAGGATTGTCATGGCTTACATGGATGAAATGCCCAGTAATTGCCTTTCTTCTGTCATGGTTCAGAGTGTCTCCAGTTCTCAGCCATTGTGTCCTACTTTGGTTTTCGTACTGTGGCAAGGTGGATGCTGAAGTAACAGGCTTCCTCACCCTTTCCCCAGAATGCTCTTCCTCCTCAGTGCAAATCAGGATTCCAGGATTCTAAAGGTTCAACTGGGTCATGTGCCTGTCCCTGAGCTAGTCTCTGCTCAGGGAGATGAGACGTGTGAACTGGCCAGGCCTGGACACATGGGGCACACACGGGGTTGAGGAGGGCACTCCCAAAAGGAGTGTGGTGCAGGTGCTGACCATTGACTGGGTGCAAGCCCGATGCTCTTGCTTCTTTGTCCTTGTCATCCCTAGAAAACCAGAGCACTATTCTGCTCAGTCTGCCCTGCAGCTTCATGAGGACTGCTTTGTACTCTTTTATTTTTGGTAGTGGGAATTAAACTTGGGCTGTTTGCCCTGAGAGTCATGCCCAGCCCTTTAAATATTTTTGTATTTTGAGACAAGGTCTCACTAATTTGCTCACATAAGACTCAAACTAGTGATATTCCTGCCTCAACCTCCCAGGGTGCTGGGAGATTATGGGCATGCACCACCCACCTTGGTTTCTATATGCTACTTCACCATTGTCCTTTCCTTGCAAGTGCTGGGCTTTGCCACTTTGGTATCCTCTGCTGGAATGAAAATCAAGTCCTTCAGCCATGGCACCAGCCTCCACTCTGAGGTGCCTTGGCCCGTATCCTTTACTCAGCCCCCCACCACCTTGGTGGAGGGCTGTGACAGAATTTCTCTGTCCTGTGCTGGGCCAGGGTCTGGATAATGCATGCTCCCCATGGATAGGGAGAAAGGAAAGAGACAGCTGCGGGCAAGGGACAGCTACTGCACACAAGGCTAGTGAGACTCTTGTGATGCCCCGGTGCACTGGGCCTGAATGATCCCACTTTTCAGATGGATAAATGGAGGCTCATCAAAGTTTACTGACTTGCTCAGGTCCCTGAGAGCCTGTGGTGGAGGTGAGACTGGCCTGGGCCTGTCACTGCCCAGCCAGTGCCTTGTCAAGTGTTGACAAGGGTGCATTTGAGTCTCCATTGACCGATAGGATCCTCACCCCCAATCTGTGGTTCCTCTCTGCATCCCTGGGACTGATTCCACATCTCCCCCAAGGAAGATTACACTCTGACCTGTGTCTTCTGGAAGGAGGGAGCCAGCAAGCGCCGCTGGGGGGCCTGGAGCCCGGAGGGCTGCCGCACCGAGCAGCCCTCGCCTTCACAGGTGCTATGCCGCTGCAACCACCTCACCTACTTCGCAGTTCTCATGGTAGGTGTGCTTCCGGCCTGGGTGAAAGGGCAGAGCCAGAGTGCCCAAGGTCTGCGGCAGAGGGAAAAGCAAAGCCTGGTATAAAGGGCAGAAGGTCCAACTCAGATTGGTTACACACACACACACACACACACACACACACACACACACACACCAGCTTATGTTCCTGAAAAGGCTGGGTAAGGCTTCAGGCAAGTATTGATCCAGAGGGCTGACTATTCCAAAGACAGGACTTTGCTCTTCACCTGCTCCTGCCCCATGCAGGCTTAGCCCTCAGGCATGTCTCCCCTCAGAAAAGTAATAGGACTGCCAGCCATTCTAGCTCACCCTCTGGTAGCTTTCAGGCCAGAGGAGGACAGCTTCTGTTACCTAATTCTGCTGCCCAGAGCCTGAGGGGTGAGTCCTGCCAGCTTGATGTGTGTCCTGTGCTCACCTCCTGAGCCAGTCTCTACAGGCAAGAAGAAAGAGGGCTCTGCGAGGTCCCTGTCCACACGCCCGTGTGCACACAGAATGGAGGAGGACAAGGGAGGGGAGCTGTGGAAGGCAGAAACCACTGTCTGCTGCAGCTTCAGTCAAGCTGGGGCTGGGCTGGGCTGGTGGGGTCGGGGCAGAGGAGGCCACTGTGGTCCTTCTGGTGGAGCTGGGAGGCACCTCTGTTTCCGGCCTGCAGACTCCCATCCCTCCCACAGCAACTGTCCCCAGCCCCAGTGCCTGCAGAGCTGCTGGTGCCTCTCGAGTACATCTCCCTCGTGGGCTGCAGCGTGTCCGCCGTGGCCTCGCTTCTCACCATCGGGCTGCACCTCCATACCAGGTACTCCCTGCCTCAGTGCCGCTCGCCCATCTGCCACTGCTCCACACCCTGCTTTGCCCCACCTGGGCTCCTGCTCAGCCCTGCAGATCCGTGGCTGCAGTCGTGTCCTGGCCTGATCACCTCAGAGGGTGGCACAGCCCGAGTGATGTCCCCAGGCCATGCTCCTTCTTGCAGGCAGCAGAACGATTCCATAAGAGGCATCCACGTGAACCTGCACACCTCCGTGCTGCTGCTGAATGTCACCTTCCTCCTGAGTGCTGCCTTGGCCATGCCCTCCGGGGCTGCATGCAGGGCGCTGGCTGCTTTCCTGCACTACACCCTGCTCAGCTGCCTCACCTGGATGGCCATTGAGGGCTTCAACCTCTACCTCCTCCTGGGGCGCGTCTACAATATCTACATCCACCGCTACATGCTCAAGCTGTGTGCCCTGGGCTGGGGTGAGCTGGTGCCCTCCCCTCATGCCTGCTGAGGCCTTCAGTGGACAGAGAGTTGATATCTTGCCCTCTCTTCCTCATCAGAGTGACCCCTCCATATATGCAGCCCTTGTCCCTTTCACAACCACCACTGCTTTCTACATTACTAGTTTCATCCATATCTCCACCTCCTACAGCACTATCTCCACCACCATGACCTCTAATCATCTCTAACCCATGACTACTATTACTGCCACCATCTCCTCTGCCTTCAGCAGCACCACCTCCACCACCATCAGATCCTTCATATCTACCCCCACCTCCAACCCATCACTATCACCTCAGCCACCTCCAGGAGCACCATCAGCTCCACCATCAGCTCCACCACCTCTACCTCCAACCCTCCACCATCATCACCTCCTTCCCCTCCATGACCAACCCTCCACCCCCACTTCCAGAAGCATCACCACTGCCTTAATCTCTACCACTCCACTGCATCATTACCCTTCCCATCACCACTTTCACTGTATCCCATCATCCCCTCACCTTCCTCCTCTTGTTGCTGCTGTCTCCATCGTCAGAGGCTCCTATTTCACCACCTAAGCCCCAGTCTCTAGTTCTTCACTAGGTTCCTCCTTCTCCTACTATTCCGTGCCACCACACTCCCACTGTGACCACCGTTACTGCCATTCTCATTCTGTCCTAGAGCTGTTGTTACAGTCACCTTGGAGAAGAGTTAGGAAAGCCTCTGATTTCAATCCCTGATGCCACAAAAACCAAAACCGTGTTTCCACTCCCTCCAGCCCACTATTCTCACGCTGGACCCCACGCAAGGCTGGAGCTCAGCATGGTCTCCTTCCCCATTCCTTGCCCAGCACCGTTCTCTGTTCCTAGGCCCAGGGACAGGGCCAACACACTCTCTAACCCTTTGTCCCACTCCAGGGGTCCCAGCCTTCCTGGTGCTACTTCTCCTCATTATCAAGAGCTCAGTGTACGGACCCTACGTGATCCCCGTCACCCACAGCCAGGAAAATGGCACAGGCATCCAGAACGTGTCCATGTGAGTGTCCTGTCATGGCAGAAGGACCACCGGGTTTATCTCAAAGGCTGACCCTGGCTGAGGGGCAGAGAGGGAGCCAAGGCCTACATGGGGCAGCCTTCCTAGGGCTTTACCCACCCTGCTGCTGGATCCAGGTGTCTCCCGCAGAAGCAGGGTGGAGTTCTGTGCCTGCTAACTCTAGGGAGCCACAGGACACAAAGCAGCACCTGCTAAGGCCCCCAGGTCCTGGTGGCACATAGGTACCAGCCACCCAGCCCAGGGTCACCCTCAGTTGTGGACTGCTGTGTGGCTTGGCCTATTCCTGATGGCTCTGCCTCCAGACTTCTAGGTTCTGTTGGTACCTGCGTGGGCACAGGGCACTGCCAGGCCCCTCAAACCCTCCTGGTGGGAGAAGACAGTGTTCTTGGGGCTGGCACTGGAAGAAGGTGGGGTCAAGCTCTGGGGTCAGGGCATGTAAGGCAGCAGAGGTGGGCCTGGAGGTGGGGCTTGACTGCCACCTCCTCCTCTGCCCTGGGACCTTAAGCCTTTTGTTATCAAACCACATTTCCAAACACCAACATAAGAAACTTCCACAGTCCTCTAGTCTTCATGGTCCTTTTTGACCAATTCCAGCTCAGGTGGCCACGGGCTGCCCTAACAGCCTGGAGGTGAACCGAGGAGCCTAGCACTGCTTGGCCTGGGGCCTTGTGGTTACCCTGTTTTGTAGTCAGGGAAATTGAGGAACAGACTGTTTAAGAAGCAGCCCAAGGAAATTTAGGCACGCAGTACAGAGCTGGAGCTTGGTCCCAGGCAACTGGCGTTAGAGCGGTGGTCCCCAACTACTAGTCCCACCCAGCTTCAAGGATCACTGAGGGCTCTAAGCTGTGATGGGGAGGCAGAGTCAGTCTCCTCAGGGGGGATTGGGTTGGTGTCTCCAGTCACACACACCAAAACCCCAAACCCATACAACCTCAAACAAACAAACAAACCCCCACCCATATCTCTTGAGCAAGGCTTACCTGCCCAGTGGTGGGACACAGGATTTATGAGCTGTGACAGAGCACTATCTAGCAATGAGATTGAAGGAACCACACTGTGCTCAGTGACATGGACGAGTCTCCAAATGATGGTGGTGGGCCTGGTGACTGCAGTGTCTATGCTGGGCACCTGGGCAGGGACTGGGACAGTTAGGGGCACAGACTCTGCGCTCAGACCAAGGGGCTTCAGGTCTCACCTTAAGCTCTCACTAGTGTTTGATTTGGAGCCATCTGCATAATTGGGTTGGTTAGGTCTTTGCTCAGGGGCTGTCGCCATGAGGGGGGCAGCCTGTGGCATAGGCATGTGACCTGCAGTCCCACTGGGGTGCGAGGAACACCTGTCATGGGGACATTTGAGGGAGGGCCCAGGACCAGGCCTGTGCCATGTAGGTCTCTGGCTGTGCTGAGCCCTTGGGGACAGGGCCCTCCACCCTACATCTGCGCGCTGTTCTGGCATCAAGTTGCCCCTGCCCATGCTGCTCGCTGCTCCAGAAGGAAGGGCAGACTGGTCCAGCCTAGGTGGAGAGGCCGCCATGCCAGGGATTTCACGGCACAGAGTGGGTAGGAGGCAGTGTTCTAGGAGAGAGGACTTGGGACCCAGTGGGCTGTAGCCATGGCATGAAGCTGGCTGTGTCAAGAGGAGGAGCTGGATAGAGAAGGAGGGAAAAGAAGAGTTTTCAGCTGGGGGAGATGTGGACCCTGAGGTATGGGTGTGGCTGAAGAGAGCACAGGGCTGCTTTACAGAGAGACGGAGGTGGAAGCAAGACCGAGGCTTCGTCATGTGCCCTCTTGGGTAGGGAACCATGGTCTGAGTGATGAGTAGGGCACACTAAAGGGCTGGGCATGACAGTCCATGCCTGTGTGCCCTGGACTCTGAGAGGAAGGAAGATAACAAGTTTGATCCCAGCCCAGGGAGTTGAGATCCTTTTTCAAAATAAAAAAATAAAACAAACAAAAAAGAGTTGGAGCCGGGGAGATGGCTCAGTACAAAAAAGGGCTGAGGATGCAGTTCAGTGGGAAGGCCCTGGGTTCAAATTCCAGTAATAGCAGCAGCAGCAACAATAATAACAACAAAAGAAGAAATAAAGAAAAGAAAGAAGGAAGGAAGGAAGGAAGGAAGGAAGGAAGGAAGGAAGGAAGGAAGGAAGGAGAACAAAAGGAGGATGGTCCGGGGGCCCAAGTGTACCTGGCCCCACCCTGACCCTGGTGTTCTGCCCACCTTGTACAGGTGCTGGGTTCGGAGTCCTGTGGTGCACAGTATCCTGGTCATGGGCTACGGTGGCCTCACAATCCTCTTCAACCTGGTAGTGTTGGCCTGGGCGCTGCGTGTGCTGCGAAGGCTGCGAGTGCGGAAAAAAGGGCCGGGCCCCAGGGCCTGCCGGGACTCGGTCACTGTGCTGGGCCTCACCGTGCTGTTGGGCACCACCTGGGCCTTGGCCTTCTTCTCCTTCGGTGTCTTCCTGCTGCCCCAGCTCTTTCTCTTTAGCATCTTCAACTCGCTGTATGGTAGGCAGGGTCCACGGGACTGGAAGGGAGCCCACTGGGGTTGTAAAAGTGGCAGGGTGTTCACTGCCCAAAAGGCAAGCGCGAGGCTGTGTCCACAGCTCCACATGCCAAGCTGGCAGGGGGTCGAGAGGTGACATCCAACCTGCAGGCTGGTGGTGGAGCTCACGTCTTGAGCCCACCTCATCTGTCCTCTAATGGGGAAAGGATCTTCACGGTACTCTGAGGTACTCGAGTCATAGAACTCCTTGGGTTCTGGTCATGGTCCCTGGCTGATCAAGGACAGGATGACCAATCTACCTTTTCTTGCAGGTTTCTTCTTCTTCCTGTGGTTCTGCTCTCAGAGGTACCACTCAGAAGTAGAGGCCAAGGCAGAGATGGAAGCACTCAGCTCCTCCCAGACCATGCACTGACCCAGGCTCCCTGGTCTGGAGCCCCAGACTTCTGGAACCTGCAGACTGATGCTCTGGCTTCCCCCAAAGGCTGGACCTAACGCCCCATTTGCCAGCTCCACAGCCTCTGCAGGCATGAGACCTGCTGCCAGATAGGCTCAGTCCCACCCAGGGGCAGCATGGCTGGCCAGGCCTGTGGACAGAGCACGGCTTGAGTGCTGTTCTATGCCTGGTTCTGCGTCTCACTGTGGTCCTTGGGGCTGTCATCTCTCATGGACCCTGTTTTCCCATCTGAGATATGGGGGAAAGAGGCTCTGGTCCTCCTGGCAGCTTTGTGCATCATGAACAAGATGGGGAGTATCATTGGGGTTCCCTCCCGTGACCCCCACCTGCCTGCTGGGGGCCGGATCTCTACCTTCCTCTTGGAGAAGACCAGACTGTACTTTGTCCCTGGTCCCTGCCCAGCCTTATGGCCCAAGCCTCCAGCCTATGCCTGAGGCCACTTTTCCTTTAACTCTGAAATGATGACAACTTCAGCTCCCAGCCCACCTCCCCAGTGACCAGGAAGTTCAGTCATTCTGAGAGCCCTGTTGTCTTGCAGATCAGCAGCCCAGGCCAAGGGCCGCCTCAGGGTCAGAGAGGACATTTCTTTCCCTCCAGCCGAGCCTCCTGGGCCTCAACGACTTGGATAAGGATGACTGGGCTTTTGGATAGTGGGTCTGAGGGTGAGGGTTCTGGGCCCCAACTCCAGCTACAGCTGACTGCTGGCGGGCCTGGCAAGTGGGAGGCAAAACTCAAGAAGCCTGGCCTTTCCCAGGATGGACGCCAGGGGGCGCGGGTGATCTGTGCGCAGAGGCATCGGCCTCTCAATTGCTTCTGGAAACGCCGCCTTCACCTGTCTGTGGATCTGATGCACAGTCTGTCACCCACAGGACTGCACCAACTGAGTGACCGCAGGAGGCAGCTCTAATCCTGTTTACACATCCGATTGTCTCTTTCCCCAGGGCAGCTGTCCGAGGTCGCTCTGAAGAGCTGCCTAGGGCAGACTCTCAGGGACCCTCCCCCACCATCAAATAGATTTTATGAGCCTGAACCTTACAGGGAGGGAACTGGAGCCTGGTCTGAGTCCTGCCAGGGCTTTCTTTGCGTGTCTGTACAATTCTGGATGCAAATATCTCCTTAGCAGCTGATGAATGGTGCAGGTTCTGGGGCCAGGCTGCCTGGGCTCCGGTGCCAGCTCTGCCGCTTGCCAGCTGTGTGATCTGATGAGCCACTAAATCTCCGTGCCTCAGTTTTGCTGTATGTATAACAGAGCCAGCAGTAATTCCTATTTTGAGGATTCAGTAAACGCATGCACATGCAGAGCCTTCACCCAGAGTTAGTATTCAGCACACGGTTGTTACTATTTTGTGATTATTATTAACAACAGTGTTTACTGGGTCTCAGAGACCCACCTGTCTCACCCCAGGCTCAGATCTGTTCAACTCTGCCCTCCCCTCCCTCCAGTCTTTCTGGCCTCTGCTGTACTAGGAATATTCCCCGTGCTGGGCAGTCTCCAGGCTGTCACAGTGTCTCCTGTCTCCCAGTTCCCTAGCCTCTGGTGGCCCTGGAATTGTGTCTTTTTCTCCAGCTGCTCCCGTGGAGAAGGCCTCTTTCCCACTGTGACTCTGGGCAGTGAGGTGTGAGTCTCCATCAGAGTGACCCGGCTAAGCAGCTCCCCAGGCCTTGGGCGGGTCCTGACTGACCACACCCCTGAGGAGGCTGAGGCTTCACAGCCAATGGGGCCACCCGTGGATTAGGTGACCACGGCTCCCACTGTGGCTGGGTCTGCAGCCCTATGAAGTAAGCCCCTGCTGAGGACTCCCAGCCTGGTCTCCAGACCCTGGCAAACCTGAGGGAGGATGTGGCCATAGTGGCACAAGTGGTCTAGTGCTTCTCAGAAAGGGTCCAAGTGTGTGTCCTTGAGATTTATTGGGGTCCAGGTGGAGGTCACTTCCTAGATATACCCTGGTGGGGTGTTAGTGGCCTCCCCTCACTCCCAACAGACCTGGCCCAGCCCAGACAGAACACTGGGGCCAGCTCTTGGGGGCTTCTGGGAAGATGGAATGGGGTAGATTTTGAGGACCACTATTCAGGGACACCAGGCTCCCTGCAGTTGCACTTGGAGAAGGAACAAGGGGTACCTGCTGAGAAACCACCGATGAGGGGCCTCTGTGTGGTTTGTTTCTGCTAGTCCAGAAAAGTGCAAGTGGGGGCTCAGCTGAAAGAAGGGTTTCCAGATATAATGCAGGAAGCCCAAGTTTGGAGACAAACTTACACTAAAAATTACTCATTTTTTCTCTGGAATTCAAATTGAGCTGGGTATCTTACACATCCATTTTTATTTGCGCTAAACCTGGAAGCCCCACTTGAGGAACGCGCAGTCTCAGAGCTTGGGCTGTGCAATATTTACTCTTCGAATCAACCCAACCCATGCCAACCCTGCAGCTGTCACCTACCAGGTGAGCCCCGCTCACAATGCACTCAGTTGAGGCTTCTCCTGTTCCCACTTCCAGCCAGGCCCACCATCAGAACCCCTCAAAGTCTGCCCTGGTGCACCTAGCACCCCACCAGCATGCCCCGCGAGCATCCTCACAGCCCTCCCTGCCTCTCTGCTCCCAATTCCAACCCAGAAGCTGGAGGGAAGTTCCCATCTGGAGCGCATTATGTCCTCCGCCCTTGAACCCCTTCCACAGGCTCCTTCCTTACTGCCAAGCCATGGGGGATGGACTTGGAGGCCCAGGGGTGTGGCCTGTGCCCTCTTCTCCTGTCCGTCTGCCCCTACTCCTGCCTCCCCCTTCTCTATCCACCCTCAGTTCCCTGAGTAGCTTCTTTCTCATCTTCAGGCTTTTCTCTGCCTGACACACTCTCCTCCATGCCTTGCATTTGCAAAGGGACAATGGCATGGGCTTGCAGCCTCAGCTTTACACAGCCCTCTCCCCGCCAGGCTGGGCCAGGGTGTGGGCTCTGACTTCAGATCCGGCGCAAGGCCCTCTTTTTGCTCCCTACCTCCATGACTGAAGTTACTCTCCCTGCTGCAACGGTTCCCATTTGTCTTGTCCACCAGACTGGGAGTGTTTTGGAGGCAGGTGTTATGTCTCATTTTCTTATTCATCCATCACATAATTGTTAAACATGTATATTTTGGGCACTGCACTGGTTGCCAAGGACACATAAATGAGCAAGTTGTCACATTTTAGTGCGTATGAATGTCATACAATAAGCGATTTAGCAAACAAACAAGATATGACAGGAGAAGATGTGCTATGGAGGAGGACAGAGCAGAGGATTCTTCTGGGTTTCAGTGGAAGACACTGGCAAGCAATCCCAGGGTGCTGGGTTTAGGGGTTCAGGAGAGGATCAGCTTGCTGGCCTGACCTGGCACTGCCAAGAGAGGAGCTGATTCAATGCTGGAGTTCCACAGCCTGTTTTTTTTTTTTTTTTCACATGGTGCTGGTGAACTTGAGGGAGCTAGAGGTGAGGGAGAGGGAAGACAAAGCTCCTCTGAAATAAAGTTCTTGGGTTTGGGGTGGCCCCAGGTTGTGCTACCCTCTGTAAGAGGAAGTCAACTCAACATGGAGGAGAGCTTCCCTAGTTTAGACCAGGAGGATCCCACAGAGTACAGGAAAGCAGGGAGCTTCCATGGGAAGCTTTTCAGTCTGGGGAAGTCGGCTACCAGGCTTGAGGGTCAGTGGAAAGGAAAGGCCCAGCAGGCGAACACCCCCAGCAGCAGCAGCGAGTGGCTGCGCGGGCGACGCTTAGAACAAGGAAAGATGCAATTAAAGAGGAGTGTATGAAACAGATAGAGTTAGAGAGATTTGGGAGAAAATAGAACTTCCAGAATGAAGAATGTTACTCCCAAATCTAGAATTCAATAAACAAGAAACAGTCAAGGGCCGGGGAGATAGCTCAGTAGAATAAGTGCTTGCCTGGCAAGTGCAGGGTCCTGAGTTCAATCCCCGTTACCACAAAAAGCCCGAAAAACAAAAAACAGTTGAATAGAGAATTAACGAACCAGAATTTATTTATGAAGAAGAAAGCAAAGACAGGTAAGAAGTTGGATGATATGAAAAGTGATTCAGAGGTGTAAAGAACAAAAAGAGAAGATTTCATATATTTTGTCACAGAAGAAAACTAAATGGAAAATGGCAATATTTGAAGATAAAATGGTACTAACTTTTCTAAGAGCGACAATAAACAGATCCATAGAGTCAGGGAACACAAAGTGTCTCAGGCATAATACATAAAAATAAATCCATGTTTATACACATTTTATTGAAGCTGCAGAAGGTCAAGGCAGAGAGAAGATGAAAGTCACCACTAGAAAAGGACAGATTGTCTCCAGAGGGACGACGGGACATCATGAGCTGACTTCTCCAAGGCCACGGCAGAGACGGAGACTGCAATTGTATCTCTGAAGCGAAGAGCAGCTAAAGGTCAGCTTAGAATTATGACCAACGTAAGAGCCTTTCAAGAACCAAGACAAAAGAAAAAAAAAATACATGTCTTTTAACATTTATAGGTAAAGGAAAGTTGAGAGTGGTCTAAAGAAACTTCAAAAAGATGGGCTTCAAGAAGGAAAATTATTCCAGAAGGTCAGTCTGAGGTGTGAGAAAGGCATAAATATAGAAAATAGAAAATGTAAGGGGAGCTCATTAAAAATTGTCTGTATGAAGTAACAGTTTCCATTCTTCTTGCCTCTTTCCCTCCTTCCTTTTCTCTCTCTTTCTTTTGCCTTTCCTTTCCCTTCCCCTCCTCTCCCTTCCTCCCTCCTTTTTCCTTTTGTCCCCCTTTCCTTCCCTTTTCTTCCCTTCTTCTTTCCTTCTACACTGGGGATTGCACCCTGGGTCTTGGGCGAGCTAGCAAGTGCTCCACCACTCAGCTCCACCTCTGGCCCTGAAACAAGTATTTCACTTGTGATATGAAAGAAAAAATGGACCTGAAATGTTGGAAAATAGCAGCATGGAAGGCAGTCTGTCCTACATGTTCTAAATCCCTTGTATTTGGAGATTAAGGAGGATGTCCAAGGATTGCTTGACATTAGTGCTGTGGTTTGGGCATG